GGGGGGGAGGGGGAAGAAGCTGTTAGCTTGCTGCAAGTCACACAGTAGGCAAAATTTAGACTGCTGTTAGATCTCAAAAGTCATTCTATTTCCACAACAGCACCTGTAAGTCTTTTTTCTCTCTCCCCACCCCTACAAACCTTGCAGCTCAGATCAGAATCCAAGCCGTAGCGTAAGACAGCCTTAGGGTCCGACATCATGGGCACTTTCACAGTCTTCTCTTCATCCAAATGGAAATCCTGGAGGGAAGTCTTTCTGGGGTCAAACTTTGTTACCCACTGCCCTGGAATGAAATAAAAGGAGTGCCCTAAGCCCCAGGAGACCAGAAAGGCACAGGGACCATGCTGAGACCAAAACACTGTTGATTACCTGGCTAACAGAATCTTAGTTGCCAGAGGCCCCGACATATCAGGCAATAAGTAAACTCAGAAGGAAATAACGTTGATTTTATTCATTTGACTGTCAGGATTATACAAGTTCCATTATTGCCTGGGAGAAAAGGAAACTGGTTTACGGTTCCACAGTGGTGTGTCTGGGAGACGGAATCAAAGGAGGCCGGAGCTGGACATCATGTCATGACCCCTCTCATAGCTGAAAAAGCACTGCAGCCAGAGAGGTGAAGTCACTTGCCAGGGCTCACACAGTGAGCTGATGATAAAAAGTCCCTTAGTTCAGCGTTGCCTTTACCATGCTGGCCCGGAACCGCTGCTCTCCCTTCCTGGGGATCAGCGCTTCAGGCCAAGCTTTTCTCTAGGAGTTTAAGGTCCATTCTTGCTACTGCCTCACAGGCGGTTATAAAGCATTTTAAGGGGAGGTTGCCTAAAATCCCAACCAAGGCTTATCTGAGCGGCGCTGGCCTCACGTGGGCCCATGGAATAGTCTTGGGTGCATTGCCACAGCCCAGAAGAATAGAACCAGCAGTGGTTTACCGGGTACCTGCAGTGTCCTGGGCACAGTGCCAGGGTCGATGTGAAGGTGGGAGGGGACCTAGAGTGCCTCTGAAGTGGATCGTCCCCATGTTAGAGATGAGGAAATAGGCCCAGAAAGCTTGTGCAAAGTTCTATAGCCAGTAAAGGCAGAGCTGGGCTTTGACCCTCTTCTGACTCCAGCCAGAAATCTAACAGTGCCTGCCCCAAACAGGCACAAGAGGGGTCATGCTTTTGTCTCTCTGCTAGTCTCTCCACAGCCTCTTACACATCGTAGGCCTTGGATCTGGCATCAAGCAGGTAACACTCAGGCCAGTGCGTTTCTCAGGCCCTCCTCTGGCTTCACCTCCGGGGTGTTGAACTAGGTCTTTGACTTCCCCCCTTCCCTGGTCCTGTCTGACCCCCTCCATCCACCCTTGGCCAAAAGAGAAGTGGAAAAGGCCTCACCCTTGAAGTAGGCCACACCCAGAAGGAGAATGCTAATTTCACTGGGCATTTCCCTTGAGGACCTAGCGATCTTCCCTTTCATCTGGGCCTGCACCCAGTTGTTGATCTCCTGAAGGTCAGAGCGGGAGTTGCCGGTCAAGACTCTGGGCCTGGTCCCATAGGACTTTTCCAGTGGTGCAACAAAGCTGGATTTTATCCGCAGCTCTGGGAAGAGACGGAGGAAGGTTAGTGTCGTCTGAGAGCTAAACCAGCATGCCCTCTTTGAAAGAGTGCCAGGCTTAGGTTCTGGTTTACCCCTGACTTCCTGCTAGTGTCTTCCCATGACTTGCTGGGACTTCGTGCCAGCTTCCCCAGGCGGCACTGGACAGGGAACTACAGATTTTGCTCATTGCTGTTTCTCTTCATGTTACTGGCCTCCCCCCAACCCTCCCGTCTCCCTCGCCCACTTCCTCTTTCTGATCCCCTTTGGGCTCACGGGGCCCCTTCCTGCCTACCAGGGCTAGGCCTGGCCGGGGCCGACATGATCTACTGTTTAGAAAGAAACACAGAGCATAGAGCCCCATGCTCCTCAGGCAGCCCAGGCTAGCACACTCACTCCTCTCAAAGACGATCCGGGAAGCACTCTTGAGGTTTTTCTGGGGGGCAGTGATGGAGGCAAGGAGTTCCTTATAGGTGCCATGGATGTCTGGGTTGGTAATCAGGTCGTAGTAGAGAGCCCGGTGAATGCTGGATTCTGTCCGCTGTTCAGCTCCTGCAGAGAGACAAGGATATGGGCTTGATAGCTGTTCCAGGGCCCAACTCAGGCCAGCTCCCATGTCAGGACAGGGACACTGTACACTTAGTCTTTTTTCTTCTGATACTGGAGACATTCTAGGTAGGAATTTGAAGGCAACAGAAGAAATAGAAATTTTTCTAAACTAGGCTGAAGGCATCAGGGCCAGTGAGATATAAGGTGGAAATGAGGGTGCAAGTCCCTGTGCCTCTCCCATCACAGCACCCACCAGGCTGTTCTGTAGTTACCTGCTTATTATTTCTTTATTTTTACTGATTTTTTTTTTCAGAGAGAGAGAAAGAAACATCGATCTGTTGTTCCGCTTATTTATGCATTCATTGGTTGATTCTTGTATGTGCCCTGACCGGGGATCAAACCTGCAACCTTGGTGTATTGGGACAACGCTCTAACCAACTGAGCTACCCAGCCAGGACCTGTAGTTATTAGTTTCCCCCATGAACTCAGCTGTGACCTGAGTGGAAGCAGGAACTATGCCCACTCGTATGCAGTTATAGCCCCAGAACCAAGCCTAATGGCTGACACATAGTAGAAGCTCATGTAAGGAATTAATGAGTATCAAAGTCACCATGTCAATAAGTGGTCCTAAAGCCCCACACCTGTGTCAGCAGTGCTCAGCACCCTCCTGGGGAGCAAGGGAATTGTGTGTGCACGGCCTTCAAGCTCTCACTTGCATGCTGGGACCCTGCTGGAGCCAGTCTCAGTGCCTCTGCACCCTGCCCTAAGGCGCGGTGTCTCTAGGGCTTAGCGAGCCAGAGATGTGCGGTGGCCAGATGGCAGCTCTAGGATCCTGGGGCTTTCTGTGTCAGAGAACTCACCCAGTGAGAGGGCGGAGAGTGCAGTGGCCACGCTGAGTGGAGACAGGAGCACATTGGCAGTGGGGCTCATGCTGGATTTCACGCGGTACAGGTCATAGCCAAAGTTGGAGACAGCCGCTGCCAGCTTGTTCACAGGGACCTTGAAGAAGGGATCCTCCTCCTCCACTGACACCCCCGTGGTTTCGGGGGCTGGGGAGCCCTGGATTTGAGTACAAGGACCAGTGGAGATGAGCAGTGGGTGACTGGTCTCCACACGGCTTTGAGTGGAACTGTCGTTCTAGCCCCCTGCCTGAGTGCGGTATGTTTAGCCTGACACTGGAATGATTTTGTGTCCCCTGGTCATGCAGGAGCTCTCTGCTGGGGAGAGAAGAGGCAGCCCAGAAGAGAGACTAGCTGACCAGGTTTCAACACTAGTGACCTGTGAGCCTCAGGCCTGTGACATACTTTAAAATAAAAAAGGAGAGGAGCCTCCTCCTCTCCCAAGAAACCCTGTTCTCAGCCAGACCAGATTCCTGTTCACTCACCCTCGCTTACTGCTCCCAGGTCTCTACCTGTCAAGCCTCCCTGTCTCATGGCCCTGATCACCTCCTCCATCATAAACTTTCCTAGTTTGCCCCAATCTTAAGGGACTTTTTGGTTTTCTCACCTTTTTTTAGAGTCAAATACCACATATATGTTAACCATCTGCTGTGTACTGACTGGGCTCTGTGCTATTTCTTTTCATTGGCGTCACTTCATGTCATACTTGCTGATGTATTTGATAACCCCCAAGGCTAGTATCTCGAAAGACTGAGCTCCTTTAGGCAAAAGCTGAGTCTTTTATATTTCCACCCACCCCCAGCACCTACAGAGTAGTTGTTCAGCAGATGGAATATAAGTGACTGGCCACATGGCCCTGTAAGAATGGGTATTTTTTAATCCCATTTTATAGATAAGAAAACAAAGACTCAGGTAAAAGTGACTTGTCTAAGGTCACAAAGCTAGTGAGAAGTAGAGCAAGAATTTAAACTCCAACTCACAACAAAGTCCAGGCCTCCAGCCAGTGTGCCCTGGCCGCCCTGGCCCTCCTGAGGCAATAACCCCCTGGGCACATAGCATTGGCTCCTTAGCATCTGCCTTTGCGACCCAAATGCGCTTCCTCCGCACAGGAAAAAGACCTTTCCACGCTCTTACATCGGAACAAATATCCAAGAATACCACCCACTCGTGAGACGCACAGCGATGCGGGTGGCGAGGAAAGGTCTTCACTGAAGGGGCAGCCCTGGCCTGTGAGAATGCTTTTGCCTTTCACTTCTGGGATCTTTCTTTTGTCCCCACTCTGTTCTCTGAAAGGCAGGGCAAGACGTTTTTCTGTTTTGCTGATGTCTAGACATAGAGGCCTGAGCCCAGCCTGGAACCTGGGTGCTTGCTCACACCCCCACGCCCCCACCCCACCCACCACTGACCTCCGGGCTGCCAGCGTTGTTCTGGCAGCTGCCGCTCCCGAGGAGGGCTCCAGTCCAGAGCAGTAGCATGAGGGCCTGCATCCCGGGGCCTGCAAGAAAGCAAGAGGTGGCAGGCAGTGTCCCTCACCCCCACCCTGCACCACCAGGCCGCCCTGAGCAGGGAGCTCGGGTTTCACAGAACTAGGCACCTTCCCTCTCCAGGCTGGAAGTGGACCCTCAGATCCCTCCCTCTCAGCAACTCCCTTCCCCTCCACCTGCCTCACGGCCCACAGTCATATCAGGTGAGCTTGAGCTTTCATCCCACTGTCTGTGTCAGGAGACCCTAAAGCCCCGAGACAGTGAAGATTCAGCAGTGGGCTCCTGTGTGTGGACATGGCCTAGCAAATGAACACGAAGGCTTTTCCCTGGAGGCACTTGACCAGCTCATGATATAGGAATTGGGGCAATATCTACTAACAGAATGGGGGCAGCATCTAGGTCTCATGTAAAATCACAGAATACAGAGAATGGAGGCATCCGGTCCAGCTCCTGCTATCCCCAAGAAGTTCTCGAACTCTCTCCTTGAACTCCTCTGGCCTGGAAGCCGTGGCCTCGTAAGGGACTCACTGTCTTCCCCGACAGGTCTGTGTAAGAGCTCTCTCTCTCACAGTTAGCAGTGCTGGGTCTCTGGTCCAAGAGCCTGGGCTCAAATCTCAATCCTGTGTCTTAATGGCTCTCTAAATCACAATATCTTCTCTTGTAAAATGGAAATCAAGTAGTTCTTCACTATTGTTATAAGGATTAAATTAGATGATGCCTTAATAGCACTTCCCAATGCAGAGATAGGTGAGCTCTCCAGTGATCCCTGAGTGAAATGTGTCCCTGCAACTGGAACCCCAGGGCCCCCCCTCTCCAATGGAGAGCCAGGACTTCCTCCCCCGGCCAGCTTGAAAATAGCTCTTATGCCTCCGGAACCTTCTTTCCTTCAGGTTAAACAATCCCACTCTCAGGAAGACCACCCAAGCCCCTTCAACTCCCCAGCTGTGGTCTTTCCTGACCGGGCTCTGGCCTGGCCCCTGGACCGCAAAGGAAAAGGGAAATCTGGGTCCAGGGCTCTAGGTGCTCCACCATCCCTTACTGTCTTGAATTCACTGCATCTGTGGGCTCACTCTGGGGTCGTGATGTGGGATGGGAAGGGATGAGGCAGCTGGGGGTGGTCACAGATCAGATCTTCCAAGAGACCTCTGGTTAGAAAGTAGGACAAAGTCTTGGAATGCTCCCCCTCCATCCACACTGCCATATCAAGAACATATAATCTGTCTTCCCTGCCCCTCACCTCCCCTGCAAAACACACACATATTCACACACACACAACAAGGGTCTCGAGCCCTTACATTATCCTTTCCTGTACCCAATAACCCCCCCCCCNNNCCCCCCCCCCCACACACACACACACAACACACACTTTTCTGACTTCTCAGAACAAACAGGAAAGTTGGGAGTGCAGTGTGTGATTTTTGGCCAGAGTCCTTAAAATTAAGCCTGATGCCTGGCCGGGCGTGGCTCAGTGGTTGAGCATCGACCTAGGATCCAAGAGATTGAGGTTCGATTCCCGGTCAGGGCACATGCCCAGGTTTCGGGCTTGATCCCCAGCAGGGGGTGTGCAGGAGGCAGCCGATCACTGACTGTCTCACCATTGATGTTTCTATCTCTCTCCCTCTCCCTTCTTCTCTCTGAAATCAATAAAGATATATTTTTTAAAAAATAAGCCTGATAATCCACTGGACAACATTATAGAGCAAGAAAGGCAACAAAAGAAAAGATGACTGCCTGAGTGTGCCCAGCTTCTGGCTAGACTGCCAATGGGAACCAGCCCGCTTTCTTTGTCAACCCTGATCTCTGTCTCAGAGCGAGGAGCCCTGTCTTCTCAGCCAGCTGCTCTTCCACATGGCTGCCCCTGCCCCTCAGGGAGAAATCTTCCGTTGAGACGACGGGAAAACTTTCTGCAGTGCCAGATAAAGACCTTAACACCATCCAGGCTACAGCTGTTCTCTCCACCCAGCCAGCCCCACCCAGAGCTGGCAGGAGCCTTCCTTGCCTGAGCCTCAGGAGACTGGTTTATTGGAGACTGAAAACTCAGCTCCACAGGCGGCAAGAATAGAGGAAAAGCTGTTAGTTCTAGTCGCTCTGGCCAGAGTAGGGAGTTGAGATAGCAGCCAGATGTAGGGGTCATCCTGGGATAGTGTTTAAGCAAACTAAGTTCACAATTCCAATACCCTTGAAAGTGGGACGTCTGTGGGAGTCCCTACAGGGTCTGAGCCCAAGCCCCAGGTCCTGTGATCACCATCACCGTGTGTGTGGGCTCAGGACTGAAGATAAATCGAGGGACCCTGTGGGGAAAGACACATGGCTCCACAGCTGGCCCAGAGCCAGGCACGGGGACACATAGTATTAATGGCACCCCTGAATCCTCCACCTTAGCCCTGGGATGAGGGAAGTGGAGAGATTATCAAAAACTCCCTACAAGGGCAGTAAGAGGGCAGAGAGTAAGGGTCTGCGTGGAGGCCCCTCTGAGCACACACTCAATGCCCTGTCCAGGATGATTGCTCCATGGGCTGGGGCCGGCAGCCACTGCCTGGCCAGGGGCATAGGGACAACGATGCCATTCTGTCCAAAGGGCAGTATTCCAGCCAGACTCCTGTCCTACCAGGTTGGGGAGGGCACAGGAGGAGGTAGTTATCCTCTCTGCCGGGCCGAGGTCAGGCCTTCCTCTCTGCCACAATGACCAAATCAAGAGACACAGCCCGGCCGGGCGGGGCTCAGCGGTTGAGCATCGACCTAGGATCCAGGAGATCGGGGTTCGATTCCCCGTCAGTGCAGCCGATCAGTGACTCTCTCATCATTGATGTCTCTATCTCTCTCTCTCCCCCTCCTTTCCTCTCTCTGAAATCAATAAAGATATGTTTAAAAGAAAGAGACGCAAGGAACTGGGAATTCACGATCTTGCCTTCAAGCTGGGAAGATAAATTTGAGCCAAAGCATGTGTTTCTAATTAAACCCAGTTGTGAGACAAACACCATCCCTCCTCCTCCTCCTCCTCCT